CCATATATAGCATACATAGATCCTATGGGATATAATGATATATATATATATATTGATAGATAGATGGATGGATGGATGGATTGATGGATAGATTGATAGATATATAGATAGATAGATAGATAGATAGGTAGATAGATAGATATATATGTATGTCATTAATAGACATGTCGCTGGATAGATTTTCAACGATCTCACTACGATGTCACTGGAAATAATTCTCCACACATGGCCTTGTTTCATTTGGTGAATTGTCACAAAGTGGAGAATAAAAAGGTCAATATGAAAGTAAAGATCTATAGTCTATAGGGGACCTTAGATTTAAGTCTATCTTAAAAATAGTAAGTATTTACTAATGGAATGGATATTTAATTTTCATAATGGAATTTTACCTAGTATTTACATCCATTTAATCCCTTATATTTTAAGAAAAAATAGTATCAACGATCCATTTTTAGGGGTCCCCGGTGACTTGACTGATTGTAAAATAGACAGCAAATAGCTGTGTTTTAAAGTGGAATATACCCCAAAATATAGCTATCCTAATGGGAACATGATGATAAAGCAATGGATGGAATGGGGTACAATATTTTCAAACAAACCCAAATTTGAATAATTCAATCCAATCCACATATCTTCGGGGCCCACTTCGTACCCACCTGCAGCCTAGAAATTCAGAGATGTATGCTGCCTTACCGGATCCCGGTCAATCAAAGCAGTTGCTGTGGGGCCAGTTGCAAAAACACCAGCGCTTGTTGAATGGATGTACTTTCATTTCCCAGAGGGTATTTTGGTCGTTCACGGAATGGTGATGCCCAAAAATGCCCAGAATGCTCTATTTCAGCAACGACAACCCTAATATACCCTCGGATAACTAACATAGCTGTTGAAAATCACCATTTTTTGTGGGTAAATCAACTATAAATGACAATGTTCAATAGCTATGTCAAATTACCAGAGGGTATATATGGTCCCGTGTCCCGTGTTCCCACCCCCCCCCTCCCCCCCCCCATGGGATGGGGGGGGTATGATGCCCCTGTGGTGGTGTATACACATATATACATACATACATACCTACATACCTACCTACCTACCTACATACATACATACACACACACACAGACATACCTACCTACCTACCTACCTACCTACATACATACATACATACACGCATACACACACACAAACATACATACATACATACCTACCTACCTACCTACATACCTACATACCTACAAACCTACATACCTACGTACCTACGTATCTACGTACACACGTACCTACGTACCTACGTACACACGTACATACGTACATGCATACATACATGCATGCATGCATGCATGCATACATCCATACACCCATACATCCATACATCCATACATCCATACATCCATACATCCATACATCCATCCATCCATCCATACATACCTACCTACATACCTACATACCTACATACCTACATACCTACATACCTACATACCTACATACCAACATACCTACATACCTACATAACCAAACATTGCCAAACATACCACCACCACAGGCCACGCGGGCCGGTGACCAGAAGGAAACATAAACACCACCACAGGCCCACAGGGGGGGGGACCAGGAAAGACCATACCCACCACCACAGCCACAGGGGGGGGGGGGACCAGAAAGAACCAGACGATACTGTCCACCCATACACATTGGTGGGGGGGGGAGGGGGGCTGGCCAACGCTGCACCATATATATATATATAATATACTAGTATATATAATTACACATATTAGCAACATTATGAGCAGCGATTATAGCTGCCATTTGATACACAAAATGTCCCCCAATTTAGGGACGCCCACACTCACCAAACGGAAAACATTTGTGTGTTGTGGTATATTCCCCCAATTCCGGACTCGTCCATATTCTACCTCTGATGCGCCCTATAATGTCCAGAAATGAACAATTTAATTGTTCATTTCTGGACATCCGGAATATTGATAAATAAACATGTATGTATATATATTTATATATTTGATATATATATATAGTTGACAATAATTAAAACTTTTAAGTTGTGTATCATTGTGGCAAGACCACCATGTTTGGAGTTACACTTTATACCTCAACTTATCTCAACCAAAAACCCTCTGGGTCGAATCCCCCGTGCGTCATGAAGTAAAATCCCAGTCGTTGCTGATGAAGTAATTCTTTGGTGGTGAAATCTCCGTTGTTGCTGAATTAAATCATCAGTTTTGTTGGTTGAAACATGTTGAAACCATCAGTTTTGTGCGGGTTTTTGCATCTTTGTTGCTTCATGAAAATTCAGACTGTGCAGCATTGTTGCTGCTTAAATTCCACCCATGTGGGGTTACGTGGCCCACCTTTTGGTGCGTATCCTTTTGGTTCAAGTCATGATGTCTCTGACGCATGGCACGGCGGTAGGACTACCGGGCCGTGTGCCCGTGGATCTCCGGCCAAGCCATGCTCCCGCGGCCACGCGGGCCACGCGGCGATCTGAGGACAAGGATTGATGCAGAGTTCATTTTAGGGTGAAGTTGTGGAAGATACCCAACCTGGTTATGACTAACAGTTCGCCATGGTATAGATGGCCCTAATCGAAATAGATGGTTTACCGTTCTTAAAAATGGTGGATCTTTCCATGGCGATGTTAAATAACCAGATGGTAATTGTTATAATTTAATTATTATCCAAATTATCCCTATGGATCCACTGTCTGAGAAGGTACTTAGTGTTCACCCCCGAGTCACGTCATCATACCCCAGTCACACCTCCTTTCAGAAGGTACGGCTGGATCCATGGGGATAATATATTATAATGTGGATTTAATTAATATGTTTTAAGATGCTTTGATATGGTTCGATGTAACAGGAAGATAAGGAAGAGGCGGGATGTGAGATGGAATACAATGTGGTAGACCCATTCACCAACCATGACTGGGGATCATTTCAACAATCCCAGCTGTCCCGTTCGCTGCGAAAAAGGGGGTTTTTGCCAAATTTCATAAACCTCAATTGGGGATTGTCTATCCCATAGGATCCATGGTGCTGCTATATATGGTGTGCCATGGATCCCATCAATATACCCCCAATGTTAGCATATATACCAGCACCATGGATCCTATGGGTATGGCATTGGGTTTATCTGACTAGAGGATGCGTGACTCACATGCTTCACTTTTGGCAAATTACCCACGTTTGGTTTCTTTTGGGGGTAAATGATGGTAGATACTCGGACGGCGTCGAACATTTGGGTAATGGATTGTTTCCTTTGCGGATTGATATTCTCACTGGACAAACATATCTGGTTGCTGGTTGCGGATACATTTGTCTCGCGTGTCTCTTCTCAAGTGGCCATGATATGGACCGATTATGATCGATTTTGGACATGATTTGAAACCAAGCAATTTGTCATGATGTATCAATTATGATTTGTCTAAATTATGTGTTGAAACCTCAAATTCATAGTTTTAGTCTTATAGATGTCTTATAGATAAAGTATGATGATTATGGTTGTTTATCTCTGCAGACTTTCAGCTCTTCATGTGGCCATGGACCAACCTTACAATCCCAGCCTGTATTGTTAATAGTTAGAAATGTGTACATATATATACATATATAAATTGTTACAGGCTATCGCATTTTGCGACACTTGGTATGTAGGGAACGTACCTCGTACTGTTGTGTTCTACATCGAAGATGACTAAACATCATGAAGTACGTTGCTCTAATGTTGTTTTCCCTAAATTGGATGGTGCATGTCAAATGGATTGGCTTCCGCGGGAAAACTGAAACCGGAAATCATTGTTTTTACCCGCAAACATGCCCTCGGGTAATTTAACATAGCTATTGGAAATGGCCCATTTAGTTTAGTTATGTACCTATCAAATATAATTATTTTCAACAGTTACCATCAAAGGAAAACACGTTTTTTTTTTCCGTCAAAATAGGTAAAATTACTGACATGCATAGGTAAATTTAACGTGAGGTGACCTAGGTGATACTGTGGATGGAAGAAATCCTGCACCACCTTGGATGGTTGAAACCCTAACAAAATCATGGGATAACAACTGGTGCAGGATTTCGCTGGCCCATCCACAGTATGTTGAATTACCATCAAAGGTACGGCCATGTATGGGTTTCCTGCAGATCCAGGATGACTTGCTTGGCCCTGGGCCGTACCTTGGCGAGGGCATGGTGAAGTTTAGGGGATCCCGGCTGAGGGGTTTTCTCCGTGCCGAAACGCGGACATCGATGTCCTTTTCCCAGCGGTTGGTTAAGGTTGCCTCCATTAATGGTAAATGTATACATTAAATGTACATTCAATGTACGCAAAGGGAAAACATTGCTAAGGTTTCTCAACCCTTGTGGTAAATGTACGTAAATCTATACATAGTTCGAAGGGTTGAGAAATTCACAAACGTAATCCCTCCCCCCCAGAAACAAGATACAATGAGGGTGTTTAATATTAGAAGGGTTATTGATATTGCGGGATGGTCATCAATCCATTCATTGCGATTTACATACAGGATGGTGCCCCCTAGTTCTAAGTTTGTTTATACACCTTAATTATAAACTATAGTTATATCTACCATTCACCATAGAATTCAGCCACTTTTTTTAGGCAACTGAACGCGAGCTCGAACGGGGGCCCCATCCTGTACTGATGAGGATTCCCAGTATGGGATGGATGACCATGTTACATTAATCCCATGTGTTGACCACGACATCATCTGCAGACCGAGGATTTTGTGTTTCGGGACTTCTGTAATGGAGGTTTGATCAGGGATGATTTTTTGTTTTATTTATAATTTGAATTGTCAACCACCATAGTTACGGCGGTTCCTGTTCTTCTGCGCCTGGGAACCCAGAACCCAAGTTCAAAAATGTTACTTGCAGTCTTAGTCGTAGTCTTGTTATTCTTTCAGATTCTTTCTATTTACATCTCAATCAAGGGTATCTCAGGAATCAAAACCACCGAAGCAAACGGCCAGAGCTATGCAGGCGTTGGTCACATGCTTCCATGATGGGAGTGACCATTGCTGCGGTGCCGGTTATCGCAGCACATTTCAGGCAGGTGCTTGACGGATATGAACTATGCGCATTCAGCATTCAAACAAAGCGCTGTTCAATCTACTTGAAAAGATGTTGGATATAAATAGTGTTACCATGGGTTATCCTGATGAGTCAATATGTCTTGTTTCTGTTGTTATTTCTGCAACCTCATGTTGTCACAGGAGGTCGGTACGCTCGCGACATCGCCAGCGGCAATCCTTGGACCGGGCGACCTTGGGTCGCCGTTGGACTGGGCACTTCAGCTGGAGGTTGTGTGACCGGTTGATAGCTGTTGGATAGACCAAAATATGGGCTTCTTCTCTGGTACTTTCAGAGTTTGCGGTGAAAGATCATCGTTTTTTTTTGGCCATGGCTTCCAGTTCGCTAACTGTTAGTCATTGTCAGGGCAGTGAATCAACAAACACCAAAACAGCATAGAAACTGCCATGTTTGTTGGGAAAATGATGATGATCCATGAAATGTTGCGTTTTTTCCCTCATTGTTTTCAGCTACCAAGCCATAGATCTGGATGATTTGTTTCACGACCTCCCGACCACGTCACTGGAATGAGGAAACAACATGGCCGCACTTTTCAAGTTAGGGTAGGTCAATGGCCATGACTCAGGGACCTAAATTGGAGGTACCTACCATATATAAGGCCTATAAGTTCTATGTAAGGGAATGTCCCAACAAAATATGGCCTGACAAATGGTACTAACGTACCTCCATTTTAGGATCCTGAAATTCCCATTGAGTAGCAGGGGCCCCCAGCGTGTAACCATAGCACTTGATCTTTGAAACGTATCGAAAGGTAAAACCAATCACATGGATAGGCAAAGATTGCACGTTGGCGTGATACTTTTAGGTTCGGTCCAGTTCTGTCCTGTGGGAATCCCAATATACTATCTTGATTTTTTGCATATCTTATCCAATATAATGAGGTTGTTTTTTAAGGCAGAATCAACTCCCACTTTTTCCCAGACTTGGTTTACAAAGTTAAAAGGATGTTTTTTACAGCAACTACCGGCATTTTTTGGTGAAACCACCTGCCTTGCTAACAGACGCCCAAAACATTGTCTCACAACCAAGGTTTTTGTTTGCTTCAGACGTCCAAAACATTGTCCCACAAACCAAGGTAACCAGGTATACTCGGAAGTAAAAACACCATTCATGTCCGTCATGTGTGCTTCGTGAATCAATCCACTTATTGGAGCAGTTCTTCCTTGACCCAAATCTTCGGGAAGAATCAGGATGCGCGCTGGGCCCGAGCTGAAGCTGCCTCCATCAGCGTGTAAAGGCCGCTCCATTCATCCCGGTCGATTTTTGTTTAAAGGTTATAGTTGGGGATTGTGATGCAGTTCCGGTCCCAAATTTGGAGGCTTACAATGCCCCAAGTTGATATGAGTCACAGGTCACTATACAGAACTTATAAAAATGAGTTGCCCCATGTTGCCCCCATAGTTTAACTTACCCATGGTTACAACTTATCTTATAACTGGTATAACTTGGGTCCACGTTCTGGTTAACTCATCTTTTGTATGAATGAAGTTCATCCAAGCGCCCAAGATCTACGGCGTAGGCTCTCGTCACAGTCAGCGGTTCAGACCATGTTAATCCGCGGTTTTTATCGGAGCAGCCTGAAAGAAATACAGATATGGCAGTGTGTCAAAACCTTGTACCCCTGGTGAACATCAAAACAGCTGGTAAATGGATGTTCATCCCCATAAAATTGGTATTAATAGGTATTGATCCATAACCAAATACAGATATCGTGATGTCAAAAAAACTGGGAGAAACTTCTGAATTTCCCGAGATGATAACCTCCCTATCCCTTCTATGGGATTCTCAGTTCCCATCCTCCTGAAATATCCTGAAGATGTTCAGTGAATTCCGGAGATTCAAATCGGTTTCACTTTTCACCATTCATATATAGTATAATATAGTGTACTACTATGACATTATAAGAACTTTTCAGTTTTCAATAAGAGACACCAGTCACACACCAGTCATAATATTTCAGGGTTGCAGCAACCAGTTCAACCAGTTTAACCAGCAACCGTCCCTACGTGTCTTCCTCCAGGCGAGATCGCTGGTGTGGAGGTTTACATCATTGGCACGGCGCATATCTCCGCCCGAAGTGCTGCGGATGTCGAGGACCGCCCAAGATCCCTATGGCCACGAAATCGTTGGGGTTTACATAACTCCAGGAAGCATGGTTTATGATACTCTCATAACTTATAACTATATAGTATTTCTAGATATTTATAGCGGGTTTATAAATCAACTTATAACTTGCGGGCCCCACGTTGTGGGGATGGGGGAAGAACGCCCGAAATCTTCAGAAATACTCAATTTAGATCTAGTGATCAGTGGTGAATGGAACGAAAAAAGAAGCTAGGGCTGTCCTCCCAAAATCTCGGGAGCCAGTTGGAGCTTCGAATGGAATTTCCCATACCCATATGCTCCATGTATGGAATATTTGCCAACATTTGCCCCAAAAAACACCCAAATGTAGGTAAATATACCATACATTGAGCATATGGGATATGTATAGTTCATAGTCGTAATTCTCCAGAGGTCTTCAGAAAGCTTGTGTGATCCACAGGTATCCGAACGAAAAGATGGATATTGCTGAGATATGATATGTGTCCATGCTATTTAAAGGCCACAGATATGTGGCCTTGGTCCGTTTCTTCAGGAGTTGGTATCCAAGGTGCAACCGGATGCCATTGTGGTGGAGTTAAGTCGTGATCGCATCAGCAGCCTCTATCCCTTGGGTGCGACGCATTCCAGGCCTTCGGGTGGGCTTGGAATATGATTCATTCTCCCCCCGTATGGACGCCATGGACCTGGACCAAAAATACAAAACCAGGCGTTTCGTTTGGGTGGTATTTGATCCTAGCTAGTCTTTTTCGGGGAAAGGTTTACATCATTTGTTGGACGGCGTGTTGTACCCTGAAAGTTCAACATGAAACTCGAAGAATGGTGAGTTTTGAAGCTGGTTTTCCTGTTAGCGGCAAAAACGTGCTGTGGCGTTGGTAAGAAAAGTGTGTTCCAGACACTGAGCAGCAAGTGGTGTTGAACACCATTTTCAAACATGTTGACCCCGAATTGATAAACTCTGGGTTGTTGAAATTTGGGGTCACCATTTTAGTATCCACTTATCACATCTTATCACCTGTTTGGAATGATCCCTTAAGCAACAGGGTAAAAATCATGGCTTAACTTGTCCTGATTCTCGCTGATCATTCCGCTGATCGATGCTACCATCCGGAGTTCTTGGGCAGACAATCGATTACTGTAGAGGATGGTACGATTCAATGAATCATCATTTGTGGATGCAATATATATATATATGTGCCTATATATCATCTATGTCTATCTCTTATTTTGATGCCCTCAATTTCTAGATTCTGCCTGTGAGATGTGCAAGCTATCTCTGCAGGCGGGATCATCCTAGGAGTTGAGATGTCCCATTCGGATGCTTGCGAAATCCTGCACCCACTTGGTCTTGGTAACTATAAGACACTTGAAAATAAAGGGATTATCACAGGATCTTTACCATCGACCAACTGCTGATTCCATTCCGATGTCGGATGATCGACCTTTGCTTAGCTTTCCTGGTTTAGTTCAGAATCCCCACCAACCATGAAGATAAAAACACCCTGTCGACCACTGAACCGCCCGTGATTTCCGGATTATATATACCGTTTATATACCCTCATGTTTGATGTTAAGGGGAAAAACAAGACATGTATGCTTGAATCATCATATAATCATCATAAATCCCCACTAGATACTCATCAACTAGGATTTGGTCATCAAACTCAGTCATAGCAATCACCAAAAAGATCGAAAAGTAAACTGCCTGCAAGAGATCAATTACTTTTCGAAGTATCTTTTTGGGGAGTTTACCTTTCCCCATCCCCCTACCTAACATATTCAACACCCTCATTGGTCCCAAAATATGTGGTTTCATATGGTGTTTGCAAGGTGATTTGTGACATCGATTTCAACATCGATTTCATTCCCTACTCATCCATGGTTTCTGGGTGTGTTAGATATGAACCAATGTGGGTGTATTACAACAACTTGGGTTTATGAGGAATATACCCTTTGGTTATTTAACATAGCCATGAAAAATGGCCCATAGAAATAGATGGTTTACCTATTAAAAGTGGTGAATTTCCATGGCTATGTTAGTCATAACCAGATGGTATCTATAGTTAGATGAGGTTATGAACCAACAAACATCACCGGGGGGGGGCCACACATTGACACACATTGTACTAATATTACAAGGTGCCCCCCCAAGTGTGTTTGTTAGTTTATAACCCTATAACTAGCTCGATATATCGACCATAAACCCAGACGTTATTGCAGTTATTACAAGCAACTTAGCTATAACTTAGCTAACATCAATCAATGCCAAAAAACATATAAATTCATATAAAATCATATAAAACCAAATTTTTGCTGATGAAATTCCCATATTTATCCTTTTTTTGGGGGGTGGTGGCTCTTAGGACTGGATCCCTGGAGCTTGATCTGGAGCAAACTCCCCGGGGCTTTCCGGTGGTGCTTAGGGCCAAGTCGGAAAACCCGGAGCGGAGCCGTGAGCAGTGCGGTGGAGGTAATTTGTTACATAACCTATGGTAATTATGGTGATTCATAGGGATTTAGCATGATTTAGCCAAGAAAAATTGGGATATGTATGGGAAATACCATGGAAATACCCGGCCTGGTAAACATACAAAAAGCGAACTGGAAAATGGCCATAGAAATAGTGGATTTACCCATTGCTAGCATGATGATTTCCCATAGTTCTGGAACAGTTTACCAGATGGTAGTCAGCAAAATTAGTGTCCCTGTGGATGATGAATGGATTGTTGATGGATTATGAATGGGATTTAATGAAGATTATGAATCCCTATGGATCCAGCCGTACCTGAAAGGAAGTGTGACTGGGGTATGATGACTAGGGGTGAGCCGTACTTTCGACAGTGTTTGGATCCATAGGATTTAGTAACATACTCTGTATATCTCTGCATGGCATGTCACATGTCCTGACTTCATCATTCTTTGAGGAATGACACGCCGGCAAAATTGGGAGGTCAACATGAAGAGTTCTGCGAATTCCATGCCACGCAGAAATCTGGAGGTCGACTCATCAACATGCTGGACGTAAAATCATAGGTTGATACTGGACGTATTCTCAAAATACTGGACGCAGAAATGACGGCTTGTTGCTTGGTGATAGAATTGAATAGAGTTGTTATTTCATCACGATGTTGCCAATGGTTGTTTTAAGTGCGGGTTTTAATCATCACAATACGGGGATATATCTGGATATAACTGACGGATGATGGTTGGTTAATGGTTGGTTGATTGCTATAGGAGCTTGCGCTATTAAATTATCCAATATTATTCAGGATTATCATCGGCATCATCCATGAATCGGGAATCCCATTCTTGCGCAACCAGTACAATGTAGTGACAGGGTTTTGAACACTTTATTTTTTTGTGGTTGGTTGTTGAGAAATCAACCCATCTCCAAAAAAAATAGTATTAGTATTATTATTTGAGACATCTTTGAGATTACCAATGCTATTTGTTTTCCCAAGACATGTTTGCGGGTTTGATAAACAAAAAAGAGATGTTCTTGCCAAACATGTCCTGTCCAAGAACCACTTGAGATCAAAGCAACCCAAATAAAAGCTTCGTTTTACCATCATCTATCCATCATCTTGGAGATTGAAATGTGGAACATGAACATGAACATGTCATTATAGACACCGCAGGTCAAAGGGTATCATGGGGGATGCGGGCAATAAACCTTGTTGACGGCTCTAAGATGATGTACGTGTACCCTGCGACAGTCTTTAGCGCGGCAATGGGAAGTAGTCACTATAAGTAGTCCATTTATAAACTGTGGGAATGGGAAATAGTCCATTTATACCCATATGCTCCATGTATGGTATATTTACCTACATTTGGCTCATTTATGGGGTAAATGTTGGTAAATATTCCATACATGGAGCATATGGGATACAGTAATTGGTCTTTCAATTAAACAATCGTAGGGGATTTCCCAGCTAGCCACGTTTGAGCAAACCAGCCACGGGTACTACCTGTGTTTCCCAACGGGAAATCCACCAGAAACAGGCAATCGATGAAGGGAAGATGCTTTATGTTTTTGGAACCTTGAGTACAGTAAGTAAATACAAAATTACAAATTGAATTAATTTACATAAATGGTCCAGTGTACGGTTATATTCCAATGGACTTTTCACTATTCATTTTGAATCGACATAGTGCGTGATGGTCATGTAGTAACTAGTAGATAGTCAGTTCACCCCACCATCAGGGGACCTGGGTCGTAGAACCAACCTGTTTCCTTTCTCTCTCTCTCTCTATCCAGATACATGTTTATATTATGTATATTAATATTAAATAATATTAATATACACATAGGCATAGGTATACCCTCTGGTGATTTAACATAACCATGGACACTCAACTGTTTAATAAGTAGATCATTGAACCAAATGGGCCACAGACACTAGCAATGTTAAATTACCAGGGGGTATTTGCCATAAAATATAAGATAATATAAGTATGAAATATATATATTTTGTCGGCTAAATCCGGGCAAAAACCACCATCCAATCCCACTAAAGCATATTGAGTCCTGTTGAAACCCTAGATTTTCTCAGTTTTTCCCTGACTCAAAAGGCCCTGACATCCCCTGACACGCAGTGCCAAGTGCCAAGGTCCTCTGACTCTGGAGAGGATGGTCAACTGATCCTTCGAAACGCTGGAGATGACAAGGCCGTCGGGCGGACTGGGCGTTCAGAGATGCTGTGAATTTCACACGTGAACGCCTTGGTGTGAAGGCAAGCGGCATAAAAACCCAACCTGGCTATGACTAACAGTTCGCCATGGTATAGATGGCCCTAATCGAAATAGATGGTTTACCGTTCTTAAAAATGGTGGATCTTTCCATGGCGAAATGTTAGTCATAACCAGATGGTATAAGTTTTAGTCTGATTTTTTTTCCTAGACCTTGGGATGTACTGTAGCTATTGTTGACAATCTGATTATTCACAATCTGATTCACTATACAACTAGATACCCAGAATGAGATTAGTTGTTTTGTTTATCAACAAACATCAGGTAATCAGGTTGTATCAGCCACAGAGGGGATACAGCCAATGCAGGTTTCTGCCATCCTACCAGGCGGACGACGATGCGTTTTGGGGATCATTATCATCCGGTCATCAAACATAGCACTGGAAAATCACCCTTTTTTGAATGCTTATGATTATCTCAGCTATAAACCTCCATTTTATTACGGGAATGTTCAATTGCCACGTTTGATTACGGGAGGGTATCCTCTGTTTCGTTTTTCGAGTACATTTGAGTTGAATTAAAGCCGATTGTAAAAGGGAGTCAACTGGTTTCTTGCTTGCCAGCACTAACCGTAGCCTGACCACTGCCATGCCCTGCAGTTCCTCTTTAAAAGTTATTAAGTTATATTGGAATGTCCAGATGCTCCACGTATGGCAACTTAGGTTTATTGTAATTCTACGTTACATCATTCTACCGTAGATGCTGCAGTTTTTCATGCGGAGTTTTGCAGTTTACGCCTCGCCATTTTATTGATCTGGGCACCATCCACCAGCAGCGGAGGTTGACGTGGTGAACATGAGGAAGCCTTTGTCCAGCTTCAGCCGCTTGGCGTGCCAAAAGATGGCAGGATGTAGCGGATGTAGTGTTTGTTGAGATAAGGATTTGAGCAGCATTGTTTGCTTCGCAAACACATGGGGATTCTTCAACTGGGAAAGAATGTGGGTCTCCGTTTGGCTTTGTCCAGGTGTGTGGGGATATAAATATACTCTTAAGTGAGACCTATAGTTGGAAACAAGATGGAAAATTCATGAATTCTACAGTTGGACGCGGATGAGTTTGCTAAAAACTTTGGGTAAACACGGACACGTTGGAAATTTCGGTGTTGCAGTCGCCCATTTTCAGACAACCAGTTAAGGGATAGAAACCATTGGGGTGACCAATCATTTGGTTGGTTCACCGAACGAACATCCCTCTTCATCATTTGGTTGATCACCAACATGCCACGTTTCTGAATTCCAAAAGGGGGTTGGTTACGGTTGCTCCTGCGATTTCATTGGTGTTGCTTGTTCAAATAGGATATGTGTGTCAAATCGGTTGAGGAGTTCTTTATGCTTCCCTGACATCAACACAAGAGTCATGTGTTTCATGATCTTTGTCACATTTCATGCAGTTTTTTCTCATATGGCTATACATTCAGAACGGTTCAAACTTGGAGACCCGACAATGTATAATTTGACGTTTTGTGGTATGGCCTCTCAAACATATGTTTCTTAGCCTTCCCTTTCTTGGATGATTGAAAGCACGAAAATTGAAAGTCAAACCTGCTGAAAGTGTCTGGAAATAAGATCCCCAATAAGACTTGATGGTTCAAATGATTTTCTGATGTTGCCTATTTAAATGGCTGTTTTGGATATTTGGGGTATACCCAATTTTGAGACAGACTCATATGCAGTTTCCACTTGAAATTGCAATCGCCATGCTTCGAACCCCTTGGTCCGGAAAAATATGGACGTCATGACCCAGCGTAGCGAGGTGATGGGAAATGGCTTGAAACTGCTTTTCAGAAGCATCGCAACTTGCCACCATCCTTTAGCTATGGGGTATGGCTGGCTGAAAGCCGCTTAAATATATGTTTTTTCTTGGTCTATGGTTCATGGATGGTTCTCATTGGTTCCCGTTGGGATCGAAAAAAATCGTGGTTGGATGGGATGTTCAAATCGTGGCTTGGTGGCTTGGTGGGGATCCCAGCGTTTTCGTCGAAGTCTAACAATCCAACAGTGGGGTTGAGAATACCAAGGTACCATTCCTTTTGGATCCAGCCGTAGCTTCTGAAAGGAAGTGTGTGGGGTATGATGACGTTTCGGGGGTCAGCCGTACCTTCTCAGACAGCGGCCATGGATCCATAGGGATTGTTATTTCAAGGGCCCCAGTTGATTTCAGAATGAGTTTGCACTCATAGCATCGCCAACTCTCTCCATATGGGAGCCCAAAATGAATGGATTCAAAACGACACCAATGAACTGCCTGAATCAGCTGGGTTTTTGCATGTTTTTGCTATATAGGGAAAGGGATATCTTTTGCCCGTTCCTGATATGTCCTCACCGATGTTCAACTTCGAAAACAGATTATTAAATGTGTGTATATATATAATATTATATATATATATATCCCTATGGATCCAAGTACCTTCCTAGGAAGTGTTTGGGGTATGATTTAGGGGGTAAATACCTTCTGAGACAGTGTTTGGATCCATAGGGTATAATACATTATATGATATGAATATGTAATTAAAGGAATATACTATAATATCTTAGATGTTTTTTTCATCTTATGAATAGTTCTCAATTATATCATATCCTTCAACAGATCAAACCTATCTTGAACTCGTTTCCTTGCATGCCTTGGAAGACATATCATTCGAAACCCACCGTTGTACAGTACCTGGCACCGCAAACAGGGTTGCTCTAAGAAAACATGATACTGGCTGGTGGTTTGGAACATTTTTTCTTTGTCCATATATTGGAAATGCCATCATCCCAACTGACTTTCACTCCATCATTTTTCAGAGGGGTAGGTCAACTCAACCACCAACCAGTTTTTTTTCATATAACTTGACCTTTTGAGAGCCAGTTTTTCTCGCGATGGATGGAAACCCATCCCTTCCCCTCCGGTTTCACCAGGTTATCGCAGCAAGACGCTGAAGATTTGGCCGGCCATTGAGCTGATGCTTTCCATGGCGAATCAACTCTTTCCCTTGGCCCAGCGGGCCTTCTACTCGTCCCTTGGCCGCCTTGGCCCAGGCAGTAGCCACCACTACCCACCACCCCGGGGTGACGGCCCCCATGAGCCGTGTTTCCAACGTGTTCTGCTGGAGGAAAAGCCGAAAAAGTTTGGTTGGTCAAAAGATTCATGTTCTGCTGAGACCCCAGATTTTGCTTAAATCCCATCTTTTTTTTGGTTGGTTAAGTCCTCACGCCTCACGGTTCACCAGCTTGAACATATCTAAATCATTGGGTCTCCTAGTTAAATCCCCAAGGGTTGTTCCACGTTTTAAGCACCGAAAAAACCAAGTTCTAGGGACTTAACTCCGACCGGATAAAAGCTAAGGGAAACACATGAAACAAGAAAAAACCTAAATCTTAAAGTGATGGTGTTTCACCGATGAGATCTGTTCCTAGATCTTAAACCAAGTTCTTGGCTCAAATCCCAATGAAATCCTATCTGGTTGTTGGTTTGGAACATGAATTTTATATTTTCCCCAAGAGTTGGGATGATGATCCAATCTGACGAACTCATATTTTTCAGGGGGGGTGAAACTCAACCACCAACCAGTCATCATAAATCATCCTTTTTTCATTGGTTGATATCTCAGAAATCACCTAAAACCCCACCTGGTTGGTGGTTTCAAACATGGCTGGATTATTTTCCATAATATATGGGGTAGTCCTTCCCATTGACTATATTTTTTTTTCAAGATGGTTAAAACCACCAACCAGCCACGGTCCATTTCATATGTCATCCGAAACCCATTGACGAACTCCATCATTGTTCAAGATGGGTAGGTCACCACCAACCAGCTATAGTAAGTAACTATAGACCATACTATATCTACTATAAGGCCTAGTGAAATTGGAGCTATGTTGAACAAGTTAGCTACGTAGCTAGGGGGCACCACCTTGTATGATATGTATGATATATATATATAATTATATGCATTGATATACAAATACCATCTGGTTATTTAACATAGCCATGGTATAGCTGGCCCATATATAGATGTTTTTTTGCAGCGCTCCAGAAATCACCCCAGGTCTGTCTCCACCGTTTCCCACAGTGGCGGCGAGTTCGCGGCCGCCGCGCGGCTGGCGCGTGCGTCTGGATGCCGCTGGGCCGACCGCGGTGACTGCCGTTGTAAGGCGGCCACCAGGGGAAAATCTTGGATTTATAGTGGGAGATTGGGACTGGTTGGTGGTTTCAAAGATGTTTATCTTCCATCTAACAGATGGGATTGAGAATACCAAGGTACCATTCCTTTTGGATCCGGCCGTAGCTTCAGGAAGTGTGACTGGGGTATGATGACTTGACTCGGGTGTTAGCCGTAGCTTCTCAGACAGTGGCCATGGATCCATAGGGTGGGATATTACCCTCAATCAAACATGGCAACGGGAAATCCCTCGATTAGAGATGATGCGCTCCCAGCAACCTCCATTCATAGAGGATTTCCACGGATTTCCCAGTGCTACTTCCAGAGGGTACTGGGATATAATGGGAGATCTAAGCCAATTTAATATGACAAAACTGGGTGTGTCTGAAACTGGGGTATACCCCAAAATAGTCCTTTTGAATAAGACCATATGATGCAAAGGATGATAAACCACTTGGATTTTGAGGTACCTTATTTTCAGACACAGCCATATAGCGAACTGGTTCCAAACTGGCTTACCTTCCGGTACTCAAACATCAAACGAGGTTTATAAATGGGAGATTTTCCAGCAATCAGCAAGCCATGTTTGAGCAAACCCAAGGGTAGATCACCTTTTTTGGCAGGGCTTCTGGTGGGTTATAACATCTTAAAACCCAGGTACAAGCCAGCTCCACGTCATATCTAAGGCGCCTACTTCGTGCATTTAGGCATCCCAAGTGATTTATTCCTTTTTTGTTATAACCGGGGTATTGTAACTGAGGATAGTTCACGATATGTCCATATATTCGCGTATTGTATATTAATTACCCCCTTTCGAGGTAGCGGGTGGCTGAGCGTGGCTAAACGTCCAGGTTTTGGGGTAGAAGTACCATGAGAATTTTCCAACAATCGTACTGTAAGACTTAGCATGTTCTACTAGGTGTATAAGCCTAATTCTGGGAAGGTTCAATGAATCAAGCTTGGGATGTATAAACCAACAGTAGATGTGGTTTCATCTGGCAAGACTTGTTTGGACCAATTCAATGAGCGCATCAGCGGGTAAACTTACAGGTTCGCAAGGACTTGAGTAGGGGGTCATGCGCAGTCATGGGATGTTATCGGTAATTAGCTGTTTTGAACAGGTCATATCTAGTTTTTTTTTTGTGCAGGGCTGATGATGTGCAAGTCCACGCCGTGGGTATATTGGATCAAGACCAACCATGGATGGCTGCAGAAGAGTTGCCAAGGTTTGCGTATTTTTGTGTAACGGTTGACCGGTTGAATGAAGCCCAACACAGATTCGCCAATCGTCTATTGTAAGATCTACTAGTAGTCTCTGATGTGTTTTTCTCCCATTATTTGGACAAGAATATTTTTTTGTTGTTCCTTTTTTGTAGTCAAAAGTAGTAAAACATAGTAAAACACACCATATGTCACATAGTCACAAACTGTCACATACAGTACCTATATATGTGTTTTTCCATTGAATCTCCCTATGAAATCCACAATGTGTTGACTTTTTTTAATCCATATATTTTGGCCATGGATTCGTCGTCACCGTCGATTCGTCTGAGGTCCGATCATTTTGGGCGATGTGGAAAATGAGGAAAATGCAGCGCAGCGGGATGATCTGGATGATCTCCTAGATGTTTTGCCGCTTTTGGGTGTCATCAAACACGCTTTGGACTTGTTATTGAATAGGCTTTTAATACGGAAAATCATAGGATCATCATGGATGATGTTTTTTTTTTTTTAAGATTTTTTTTTTTTCCGATGGTTTTATCTGATATAACATGGGAACAAAAAAAATATGGGATGTAAATAGATCATGGCACTTCGCCGTCATCCAACCTGGCCGGCTCCAAATGGTCAGCCCCGGAAGCCAATCGTGACATGCCAGAATATAATCATTTCCTGGCCTCCATTCCAGCAATTTGTAATTGCCTATTTTCAATCAACAACTTTCTCTTAGTGAATAGTGATGTAGCCTGTTGAGTGATAGAAAGGGAATTTACCCTGGTTGGTGGTTTCAAACATTTGGAGGATTGTCCATTTCATATATGGGATGTCATCCGAAACCCATTGACGAACTCCATCATGTTTCAAGATGGTTAAAACATGTTAAAACCACCAAGCAGTACCGCTCTTTTAGGAATTGACCGCTATGTTTTGCTCAACAAATTCCCCCTGAAATCATGGGATGGTTGATACGGGATCTTTAACTTTGACCCCTGGGTGCCACAGGTGAAGTAAAGCAACTTACCGTCAAATACCATAACTGGTTGGTGGTTTCAAACATGGCTGGATTATTTTCCATTTCATATATGGGATAAGAATCCCAACATATCCCAACTGACTTTCATATTTTTCAGAGGGGTAGGTCAAGCACCAACCAGATAAAGTCCTGATAAATCCCAATGTCAATACTTCGGTCTCCATGTTTCATGGGTCATCAGAACCAACAAACGCATCAAACATATTCATGTTTAAGCCACTAATAAACTCCTATAAACCACTATATTCATGTTTAAGCCACAATTATAGAAGTCCTTCAACAAATCATAAACCACTTAAAAATTCCCTAAGAAATCCCCAACGCTTTCATGGTTAAGCCACCAATCCAGACGCCCCCGGCGCAGGACCTCTTCGACCCCATGGGTGCTTTGGAGGTGACCCGTGAGGCGCAGCGCGCAGCGAAGGATCTTTGAGGTCCCAATTTTGGGTGATCTGCCAGGTTTATATAACGTTTATGTAGTAGTGCATAGTGTTTATATAGTGTTCATATAGTGTGTGTATATATACATGTGTTTATAGAGTGAGATATAAAATATAGTGTTTATATAGTAAACTATACGTCTTATGACTATAACAGTTCATAAAATATAGTGTTTATATAGTAAACTATACGTCTTATGACTATAACAATTCTTCTATGACTATGATATTATCATAAAATCACTATAAAATCACTATAATAAACTGTATATGATAGACTAATATATGTTCTTGATCTCCAAGAATCACCATAATCAACATAATCAACATAATCAGCATAAAATCTAATCTATAATCACCAGAACAACTATATATTCTATAAAATCTCTATAACCATATAGTCTAATCAAAAAGGTGCCCGAGCTCTGCCCCAGGATCCATTGCTAGTGCGCCTGGGTGGACCCTTCATACGGCCCAGCAAAGGCGGTGTAGATTTGATTGAGGCGCCATGGACCACAACCGGATCTGGAGGTTTCCTAAGTCATGGGGGTACCCCCTTGCATCATCCAGTCGTCATGAATGACCATGACGACTCGTATTGAAACCTATGGTGACGACTGGGGATCCCACATTTTAAGAACCCCCCATCTAAGCAACTGCAGATGGGAAAAAATGCAGATTGACATGGATTTGCATGGATTCATATGTGCAATGGTCAAAAGACGCTATGAAAGGCTTCAATTACGATCCGCCATCACTACTCAAAACATTTAATTTACTTTGTGTAGCGATAGGGGGCCTTGTGTAGCGATACCTCTTTTTAGACTTTGTTTATGATTGAACCTTCCTGTTGGGCGCATGACTTTCCAATCTTTTGATGTCAGAGTGCGACACTGGAGCAGTCGCAGTGGGCTGGTCTTCCTGGGTAGTTGCAAGATGGCCTGTCGTCAAGTATATATGAGATAGTTACATTAAACAATGTTGATATTTTGGGGTATGTTGATCGATAAGGTATGCAAGAAACTAATTCATAACGCATCATGAGCTTGATGATGGTGATGATGCTGATGATGATGGTGATGGTGATGATGTTGATTCAGATAGTGACCGTGCCCGAAGCGATACCCCTCGATACCCAGAGCGATACCTGAAATCCATGAAATTAGGGAGTACCCCACATGGTCACTTGAAACTTTACAACTTGTGCTATAGGTGGAAAAATATGGGAAGTATGAACAAGGGTACCCTCAAGTTCTTAATGGGTTAGTTCTTAAAGGGTTCATTTGGTCAGGGTTTTGCCGATTCATTTTGGCGTGGTATTAGGTTGCAAAGGAGGCGGGGTGAAGAAAAAAAGGCGCCGGAAACAAGGCAGCACAGGCAAGACAAGCC